AGTGGGATGGCTACTGAAGTTGCCAAAAGATGGCATCCCTTGTAGCATTTGGGGGAAATTGTGCAACTTTATCATTAACATCCCAATAACTTCCATTTTAACTAGGCAAAAATGGAATACTTTATCTTTTTGAAAATGGTTTCACTGACAGGGTGACCGAAAGTGTCCGATTTTTGGGGGGGCCTGACCGACCGATTACCGAATCGGTCAGCATATCTTTTCGGTAACCGATTTTTTCGGTAACCGATTGACACCACTACACCCGAAGCCGTTCTTTGTCCCCTGGACTTATCGTTTGAGCCAGCTGTGATGCTTATGTTATGGGTCGGGTCGTTGACTGTTCAAGTGTTCACTCCAGGTCAGGTTTGCGGAATCGGTGTCGGTCGGAGTGGACATAGTTCTGCCCGGAGTTGGAGTCGGAGTCGATTTTTGGAGGCCGGAGTCAGAGTCGTAGTCGAACTCACACCGAAAATCCGTCGACTCCGTAGCCCTATTTCAATTTACAGATTTTCAATCCAGTCTGGTCAGAGCCAGCAGCAGCAAATGATTTCCCTTCCTACAGTCCTGCCCAAATGGGATGGACATGAGCCAGGTGCACTTTTATCGATAGGGAATGTTGGCAGTTTGGCTCCATTTGTTTTAGTTATTTATCGTTGTTTTGTAACGCCACTGCTCAGAGCATTGTTATTCTCCGATATCAGATGTTAAATGTTTCTTTTTTTGCATTGATCATTGCTTGCAAACAATTAGTCTGAGCAATCAACTAAAAGTCATTTAGGGACCCATGGAAAGCTACTCAAACAAGTGTTTGCAAGCAATCGCGGGTGACTTACTTGCGCTTCAATGCCTATAAAGGTGCCGAATGACCCTGAAGTGCCCCGGCTTATTCCCCTAAGGAGCATTTGACATTGGATGGTCACAGGAAATAATTATGAAGGCTCATTAGTGTGCTTAGTCGGTAGCACATCACTGCAGATCTGAAGATAGGAACAGTGCATTCATTGATTCCCTTTAAAGCGCTTTGTGTTGCAAGACACGATTGATAATATATTTCCTATATAGTTTAATTTTCCTAGAATCTGCACTATACCCGTGCTTCAACTATCCGAATACCTACATTGGCTTCTTAGTTATAGTTAAGTGTCGTTTGTACCGTTGTATGTATGTATGTACGTTGGCTTCTGTTTGCGCGGTAAATTAGAAAGCTGCAGTTCGTCACACTTTTAATGATCGCATCACATTATGAATGCGTGGCCTAAATGAGCTGCCAAAACCTGTGTAATCTGTTTAACATTGGCAGATTGATGCAGGTAACGTATTTTGGGCAAGTCAAGCTATAACTTTTTTTGTATCGTCAATATAGTTACAGATACTGAAGCTAGTTCACAGACCTCAACATTTCTTTCAATGTGCCCCCGCCAGCAGCGTTCAGAGTTCAGAACGTGGCAATCCTGGAAAGCATCGTCTGCTGCCTGTCTGTCGTCCATTCAACTCGGCTAACTTCCCTGGAACCGACTTTGCCAATTCGCCCTCTCGATTACTGCGGTAGCTGGTTTGTGGTCCAAGCGTTAACCGTTCTCATATGCGACAGCAGAAATGTCTGTTGACTGTTCTCCTGTGTGGATAGAAGCTTCTTATACTGATGACATCTAGGATTCTTCAAAAATTTAATGGAAATTTAAGTTGTCTTAGGCTTGAAACGTGCACTTAAAATGCTGATCTCGTTATACAATTGTGTTTGTTCATTCAGCTGTTTTATGTGTTTTGCGTTTTAACGTGATAAAGTGATTAAGTTGTCTGTATTGCATCTTGCAAAGTGAATAACCGCTACGAATTGTTACATTAATATTTTAATCTCAACCCTTTCACATTCTTTCAGGTTTTTAATGTTTGTTATATCCATCATGCTTCATCTAACTAGGAAATGATGGTTTATGGAATTGTGTTTCTTATATGTCATTTAACAATCGGTGATAGTCCCTGACGCAGTCTTGACACATCGAAAAGGCGTTGATTGCCGTGTCTCTCCGTGTCGGTGTTTCCGCAGATCTGTACGACGCGGCTCGCCTTGTCTCCCCATGTCAGACTGTCTGTCGGACGGTCGGGTCGGGAGTTATTGTGCGGATCAGTGGAGAGTTCGTGTCCCCGTCTCCCTGTGTGAGACTGTCAGTGTCTGTCAGAGTCTGTCGAGAGTGCCTCTGTCAGGGTGTCAGAGTGTCTATCAGAGTCTATGTCAGGGTGTCAGAGTGCCTGTCGGGGTCTCTCAGAGTGTCAGAATGTCTGTCAGGCAGGCACGTAGCCTGGATTTTGCTCAGGAAGGGGTCACAGGTCGCAGCCTAGCGTTGTACCCCCTCCAAAAAAGGAAAACTCCTCGGATTTGACCCACTATTTTGGGGAAAGTGCAGCTGATTTTATTTATTTTTATTATTTATTAATTTTATTTTATTTTTCGCCTTCGGGGGGGGGGGCATGACCCCCGTGCCTGTCGGAGTGTCTCCGCAGGTCTGTAAGAGGCGCGGCTCTCTGTATATCTCCGTGTCTCCGTATCAGAGTGTCTGTCATAGTGTCTATCAGAGTGTCTCCGGTGTTCTGTTAGAGACGTGCCTCTCGGTGTATCTCAGTGTCTCTGTGTCGGAATGTTTATCAGAGTGTCTCCGGTGTTCTGTAAGAGGCGCGTCTCTCCGCCGTGGACCGCCGTCCGATTGGACCGATCGATCAGTGGTCCAGTTTCAGAGTGGTGATGGGCTCGGTGGCCAGCTGCCCGGCTCCATAGCCCTCCCTTAGTCCGCGGCGAGAAACGATTCACTGTGTCACCCTGCAGTCAGCGATCGGAGTAACGACGGTACATTAGTGACGCCAGACCACTGAGACCGAAGGACGTGGCAATAAGTGATAAAATCACTTGTCAATGCGGTAAATAAACTTTTCAGATTCAACATATTATGCACGCTCTCACAACTGTATTATTCAGTCTTGGTTGGATATTTGGTCACGTAGTTAGGTATCGACTGTGATCATCTTTAGTTGATGAATGTGGTTAAAGATATGATGCTAATTGTGTATTGAGGACTCCTCACTGACATAACTTGAGGCCGCCTGTCCCGTTAATCCAACAGATCCAGTTGGAAATCTGTCTGATGATGTTATGCCGCGTCATTTATCATCACAAATGTTAACGATCACTTAGTAGACGTTTATTGTTTATTGACTGTAAACATGCAATTGTCGACGATAACATTGGGGCTAGAATAAAACTACGTCTCTGATGCTGTGATGCAGCACCTCACGAGTTTCAAGCACTCCACAAATGCAATGAAGATGTTTGCTGTCGCAGTCAGATGACAAGCTGACAAGCACCCAGCTGACAAGTGACAGCTCGTCGAACCGTGAACGTTTGCTCAAACGGTGCTCTGAAGTCTTATTGCGACAGTCTTTACCAAAACACAAAACTGTCATCTCTCCGGTGAATTAACTTAAATGAACTATATAGTTGTTGTCTATAAATAATGGCACAATGCACTCAGAGCGTACTGCCTGATACAGGGAGGGAGGGAGGGGCGGGGAATTTAGGGCATCTGCCCTTCCGGCGCCACGTCCGGAATTGCTGCTTTCTTGGACATGGGATTGGGAAAGGCTGTATATTGTACACTGCGCGGCCATAGACCTCTGTATACAGAAGTCTACATACTCTCTGTATACCGGTATACAGAGGTCTATGGCACAGCTAATGCCATTTCTTCCCGCACCCTACAAAACGCATTATTCTGGATCCACCCCGGGTACGTTCTCCGCCGAGGACTTTGGAGAGGGCGCTGTGCTTGTTTGTGACGAGTGCAGATGGCAGCACAGAGCGGTATCAGCTGTCAGCTCAGGGGTCGTAGCCGACTTGCCGTCTATCTGTATGGGAGACGGTGGTGTGGTCTGAATTGACGGCAGATATAGATGGAGTCTGAATTTGTGCATTGATTTACAATGTTCTCACCAGCCGAGCTCGATGTTTTCCTGCACTACATACGGTGTACTATACATATTGTTTTTGTCCTAATATTTTCTGGTTCCTCGAAGATGCACTGCTTTAGTAGCAGCAGCCAGCAGGGCCTGAAATGTGGTGAGGAGGGAGGGCAAACTATCTAAATGTTCGGCCTCGGGTACTCCCCATACTTTGTCCGAGACCGTGATGGCAATTGGGTCTGAAACCTCTCCTCCGGCCGCCAATGTTTTAGAATCTAAACCGTCTATCAATTGATAAATGTTCCACATTGCAATCAAACGGCGAAGCACTCTAGTGAACAGCATTATGAGTAATATGCATTTTAAATGGAATAACCTTGTGTTCAAGTGCTAAAAATTACCAAAAGGTAACTTAGCATGGATCCATGGTAAATTACCATGGGTGGATCAATGGATACCAAAATACCTACCGTGGATTACCATGAATCAGGTACCTACCTATACGCTACAAATGTTTCACTTGAACCGATGAAAAGGAACGCCTCCGAAATATATTCAAATGTTTTTGTAACTTTTGGTAATTTTTTGTTTAGTTTTAATTGATTTTTATTTTCTTTTTGGCACCCGCCATCGACGTTTTGACATTGCAGCGCATATCTTTAACAACATTAATTCTCATAGGCTTTTTTACCAATGGAGTATTTTTTATAACTCGCAGCCAATTTACTCTACAAAATTCTCAATTAGCTCTAACAATTAGCTACAATTAGCTATACAAAATCACTGACAACATGCATGCACGGATCTGAAAAGGGTGACTTGATCTCAGGCCCTTGACTACGGTGGAAAAGGGTTTCAATAGAGTATCAAGCATCGCATTGCATACTGATGAACCCGTCGCAGATTTTGGCTGGTGCACTGCAGCATACCATTAAATATTTTAACATCATAGTTCACGGCTGCGAAAAGGTGCATATCCAACCATTATTACTTTATTTTCAGCTAGAAGCTTTCTTTTTAATTAATTCGAATTGGAAAGAAAACATACCTTTGTCACATTTACAGCATTTATTTCATGTTAATAGTTATTTTCATTAGCCTGCACCAGCCGCCACGCTTTACACACATTTGGCACTTGTTCATGGAACGACTCATCAGCGAATGCAGGTTATAAAGGGCTTTTTAACTGGAAATATTAGCAGGATCCGAGCGTATGGTCACTCAGCTGAATTCTATTCTATGACTGCCTGAAGGTAACATTGACGGGCGACGATGCCCTTTCCCGTGCTGGCACTAGCATGACAAAGCGTATGTTGAGACATACTGCAAGCATGCTCGAGTGTAGCATTATCCGGCTGTTGTTGGGTGACATCGCTTATCGCCAAACAATGACTGGTCTGACCAGAATCGGCTGGGTAAATCCGCGTTCGTCAACACCGTCGTTTACATAGATGTCGAACCAACTCGAGGTTCGGCAGGGACACCGTTATCAGTGAATGGTGTTAGAACGCGGCAAACGACTGCATTGCATCAACATTCAACAGTCTCCGATATTAGGTATAACGCTTCGGGGCAGTTACGTGTCTCAGAACACACTTGTTATACATTTGCCCTTAGTAGTCTCACTCTTAGTCATTTCCGTCTGCCCGTGATCAATAGTTTCCTTTTAAAAGCATATCTTCGCTTTCTGTTGGCGACGCTTTCGTTCGAATCTCCTTTCATGGTGTGGACTGTATTTAATCGCGCATCGCACAGCATTTGGTTGTTTGGTGACCGAGATCCCGGAGGAAAATGGTTTAATTGGAAAATTGGGAAAATAAATGTTATAACCTATCACGTTAGCCTAGTTAAGATACAACTAAATATTGGATACAGGATAGAGCGCCGGATGCCGACGACTAAGGAACCTCCTTCTTAGGAAGTATATTTGGACCTAATAAAAGAGCGCCGGATACCGACGGCAAAGGAACCCCCTTCTTAGGGCGTATGTTAGGGCCTAAATAAGAGAGCGCCGGATACCGACGTCAAAGGAACCCCCTTCTTAGGGAGTATGTTAGGGCCTAAATTATGAGAGCGCCGGATACCGACGTCAAAGGAATTCCCCTCTCAGGGAGTATGTTAGGGCCTAAATATAGAGCGCCGGATGCCGACGACAAAGGAACCCCCTTCTTAGAGAGTTTTAGGAATGTTTTAGGATGAAAAAAGGATAGTCAGTAGACCTGGTCACCGGAACCGATACGCCTGCCGCATCTCCGTCGAATATCTCATCTGTGTGTAGACCGCGCACTATTTCACTTCTCACTCGGGCTTCTCACACACTTTGTCTTCTAGTTCACTATATTTGGCGGACAAGGCAGCGAAACGTACCGGGAAGAGAGCTAGGGGCAGCGCAGTGTCCCCGTCGAAGTCGAAAGGTGAAGTGAGGACCGGGGGTGTTTACAACTAGCTTATATACAGCGACAGGGGGTGAAAACAAGACGCGTTGAGGACGGTCAGAGCACACAGAAAAGGCTAAAAATGGCCCGGGCGTCCAGCGCTCCACCCGGAAGACACACACGCTGGGCGCGCACGTGCGTGCCCCACACAATGGCCCGGACCTGGGCCGGTCCTACGCAAACAGGGAGCCGCCCTGCCGCGCCGGCCGGCCAGCCGGGTCAGAGGGGACGCCAGCGTCCCGCGACCGCGGACGGCGCTCGGCTCGGCGGCGCGGCGGCGGTTCGGCTCAGCAGCGCTGGGTCTCTCGCCCGTACCGCCTTGCATAGGTGCAATTTGTCGGCAACACTTTCACTTGTAAAACTGTCGGTCAAGCGCACCAAGTAATGACGCTGGTCTACTACATAGCCACGCTGTTTCTGTCTAGCCCACGTCACGTCTTCGCTCGCTCTTCAACGTCACCATGATCATGCTCCCCGAACAGCCAGCGACATCTGTAGCACCATCGATCTCCAGCGTAGGTCAGCCAAAGATGAACTGTCTCAGTAGGTAGCCATCGAAAATACTGACTGACCTAAATTCGTCATGCCTTCAGACACTCGCTTCCAGTTAGTCAGCACGGCGCGGTTGGATATAGGCGATTGGGGTATAAAACTACGCACTTTCTTCACTAACATGACAATTGCTAACATCACACAATGACATCACTTAACGTCCGACGTCACACAGTTGGGTGACGTTACGTGACGTTCACTCGAGGAGAGCGGGAGGCGAGTGACGGACTCAGGCCTTGACGGCCGTCCAAAGGTCATTCCGCGCATTCAGTTCTTCATACGCAGCTCCAGTCACACCGAAATGTTAGTTCTGTCTTAGTGGTTACATCAACGCAAGGACAGGTGCATCTGAAAAGAGAAGAAGTACGTCTTGTTAGATGAAGCACGCTTGCATTTTCGGACGATGTGTTATCCAATGTGCTGTTGACCTGCCTAGAGAGTCTAATTGGAGAACGAATTGATGACAAATTGTGGCACTGCGGTTATGGAAAATTGAATATGCTACCTTCACTGCTTTATCTGTGCACTATATCGCGCAAATATATTGCTTGCATCACACGTACACTTATATTGAGTACGAAACACAATGAAGGTGAATGTTATAATGGGCGCAAAATGACATTTGCAGTCGGCGCGCCCTAAAGTCCCAATAAACAAAGGTGAATTTTATGATTGGTGCATGTTTTTAAATCCGCAAGCTTAAAGTAACTATCGTGTGCAGACCGCATGCGTATTCACTGACAGATCCCTACACCTGGACAGAATGCGCTCCTGCAACCCTATTTGAAATCACTCAGAAGTCTTGGCGTGTTCAATGCGCCCCTCAGTCCGTTAGGTCGCGTGCATTCTCTGAAGGCATGTGTATTATATATTTAAATGCATACCGGTGTGTCCCCGCGAGGGACCCGCTCAGTGCTCATGTGAATCTCATGATGCAGATACGATGCAGCATCAATCAGGGGTCAGCCGTATTTGTAGCGACGCCGCGCTGTAGCTAAGGCGAGCTGCCACGGTCTGGGGATCATATGCCTCCGTTTGATGCCGAGCATATGATCAGCTAGTATAGCAGCTTCTGGATGTGATCGGTGTGGCTTGCGCATCGCTGATACCCACTGAACCAAGATGGAAAGGCCCAGCATATTGTTACAGACGATGTGATATGAACTATCTACGATTGGCAAAGTCGAAGCGCTGATTGATTTCAAACAGCCACACTAACCGTAGCGGAATTTACCCATCCAGTACTCGAGTTGGACAGCTGCTTGCTTAGCGCTTGAAGCTCAGAGGCTCTCAGCCCAACTTACCGCCAAATCACAATTTAAACGTTAATCCTGAGCAACGAGAATGGGTAATCAGTTTGCTTGGCATTGATCTAATTAATCCTTTGGATTATATACTTATTTCCAATTAATGTTTTCCGGTCATATTTCGGGGAGGCCTGTTGTTAATAAGCAGTATCAATGCTGTCTATCAATTAATGTGTTTCAAAAGGCTAAGCGGCACTTCAGGTGTCTAATTTATTGAAACGGTTTTGAAATGAAGGAATTTCGCGCTTGTCTCTTTATTGCCTATCAACGGGGGCTAACACGTAACACTACCAAACGCGCACTTCGCGTACTGCCAAGTCATCGAACTTCATAACAGCAAGGTCAGAGTCGCCATCAGCCTTGGGTCGCTGTATTGGTACGCCACGAGATCTCGGTACCAAGCCGTCGCCTGCCGCCCATCCAATACCACCAGTCATAATTACATCGGTCGATGCATCCGCGTCTTACATCAGATACCGTTTATGAGTCTGTTTTTGGCTGATGCAAGTCAGCAATCGGCTCCGATCAGCTCTCAGCCATTGTTTCAGGCTGACTGATCTCATCCGAACTGTTAGCGCCCAGTCGATTTTGACTGAGGTGCGCCATATCTGGCTACATGACACAAACAGCGGCCGACGTGGCGCAGCGGTGCTAATCTCCATAATCCGCCGCGGCGCGGTTCCACGAAACACGCCACAAAACCGCCGGGCAGGACCGACTGGGAGTTCAGAGGCGGCGGCGGTGACACCGCCCGAGCTTCTGCAGTCGGTGAGGGACCGGCTCCGCCCCTGACCTGTCCCCAGGTCAGTGACCTGACTCACCCTCGGGGAGTGCAGTCCGGGAGGAGGGGTATGTCCTCTGCAGCAGAGGCGGCGCTCACTGGTGGTTCCTCCACTTCAGGTGGCCGTCAGCGCGGTCTGAGAACGCGGAGAGAGAGAGAGAGAGAGAGAGAGAGAGAGAGAGAGAGAGAGAGAGAGAGAGAGAGAGAGAGAGAGAGAGAGAGAGAGAGAGAGAGAGAGAGAGAGAGAGTGAGAGAGAGAGAGAGAGAGAGAGAGAGAGAGTGAGAGAGAGAGAGAGAGAGAGAGAGAGAGAGAGAGAGAGAGGGAGAGCATGTCAGCTCGAAGCTTCCACCACATCCTCTGTTCGTTACAACACATCTGACATCTTCATCGTCTCAATGGCGTTTCTCCTATATTCTGTTTACGACTCTCCCCATTTTCTGTGCGTCATCTACATTTCCGCCCACAAGTGATTGTCGAGTGATGCATCTGTCTTGGTTCTGGCGAGAGAGCGGTAAGTGCAGCTATTTCCCACCAAATGGGATCCCATCAGGGCGCTATTTCCCCAGAGCGTTCGTGGCCGCACCGCTATAGTATCCATCATCACGCCATGAATAAGCACACGTCCTCCTGGTGTGCAGCACTAAGCCGATCGGCCGGCACACAACACGTTTTCTCTCAACGGGAGACTTTTTCGGAGGAGAGGTCGGGGTCGAGGTAATAGGGGCCCGTGCCCGTGCTCAATAAGAGCTGGCTTTCGCTTGGTGCACTAAATGGACGAAATAATTTATAGCGTGTGAATGGTGTAAACTTAAACTTAAACAGTACACACAAAAAGCTGCGCAAGTGGCAAATAGAGCATAATAATGTGCAGCAGATAAAACGTGGCGTGACAGTGTTGAATCACATTGTCGACGCAGCAGACAGCATCCGAGCCGCGGACTTCTTACCGAGGTTGACTGGCGCCCTGATGTAGGCCTGCTGGTGGCTCCTGCGGTCAAATCTCAGCACTCCCTGCCGACAGAATAATACACCAACCACTTTCAGATCAATACAGACCCTACCGCTGTAGGCACTTAGCTAAGGCATTTCCAACATCCGACTTTATTACGTTGCACACTCGTTTATTGTTTTGCGCTGTGCATGAGTGAGCAACGCGGGGGCTGATGTCTTCACAAGAGCTGAAGCTATCTTAACATTCAGCGACTAATGTGTACAGAAGCTCTGGCGAATAATAAACAGCTGAATGTATCTGAGACATTTGTGTAGCTGTCAGTGTATTGGTGCTCCCTCGGCGAACATGCTGAATATTGATGTGGATAACTGCAGCCGCGCCACTCTGCGGTTATTTCGCGGCTTCTGCGCAGCTCGCCGTGGGAGTGCCGGAAACAAAAACAAATGTGTTTATTACCGTGGGTGTCGCCACCGCCGTGTAAGTCACACATGCATGAATAGTTGAGTACTAAAGCCGCCGGGAGGGCGCCGCCAGATGACATCACGGCGCGCGACGAGCGCCGCCAGGTGGGCGGCCTGTGGGCGGCGTAATGGATGGCCCGTGGCGCCCCCGCCCCTCTCGGCCGCCAGCCGGGCAGGTCGCGTCATCAGAGCGACACGGCATCCGTCATCGGCCGGCCGCTCGGGGCGGCGCGCGCCATCACCCGTCCGGGAGGCCCGCCGCCAACGGCAAAACACGCCGCCCGCCGGGACGCAGTCCCGCACAGGTGCAGGTGGCGCCGCCGTACGGGGGCGGCGGCCGGCCGAACCAGACCGAGTGGCGGCGGCGGCGGGGGCCGGAGAGTGTCTAATTTACTCCAGGGACGAGTCTGACGGACTGCTACGACGCAGATTATTATACGCCAACTGACTCAGGAGGGTGAACGCTTCAGACCGGATGCGAAGAATTAATTGGTGTCCGGGAAGATGACACAGTGATCCAGGGCCTCGGCTAACATGTTAACTGGTGGGCCAAATGGCCCACCAGTGACCCGAAATGGCCCACCAGCCTCAAAGATTTGGCCCACCAGTAATTTTCCGAAAAATCGAAGTTTTCACATTTTTCACTTTTCAAATTTAAATAGCAGATCATTTCGTACATTTTCAGGCTGTAAAGTACCCATCGGTGAAACATATTCTTGTGAAAAAACTTCAACCTATTGTTTGCAATATCCTCTTGGGTGGACTATAGTACCCACAACTTTAAAAAAAAAAATCCACCACCTACGTCTTTGCTGTATGATTTTTACTTCGATTTCCATGTGACGTCACAGTACTTCCATGTCCGGTGGTGTCCGGTGTGCTCAACCGGACACCACCGGATATGGAACGGATATTAACGGATGACAAACGGACATCACCGGACGCTGACAGTTCTCGTCCGTTTCTCGTCCGTTGGTCCAATCCGGTGAAGTGTGACCGAGGCTTTAAATTTTATGCAATACATAATCGTGAAAGACGTCTGCCTCTGTCAATTACAGATAGTGTCGGCGGCTTCCAGCCGATCGAGGTCTGCGAAAGTTCTTGCAAGCTTTCCGATCGATCGAGTGGTTGCAGTCACATAAGCATCTGCTGCAGACAGTGGCGTAGCCAGAGATCAGCGAAAGGGGGGGCCATGGTGCTCGAGGGGGCGACTTTTTCCCTTGAGAGGGGCGCCATTGTCAGCTAGTGACAGGGGTGTCAGGCTAAAATGTAACGTCATGTTCATGCATGATTTACTATAGGTGTTGCAAAATACATAAGAACCAGCTTTCGCTGATTTTCATAAAGTCCAATTAATGCAATTTGCAGCCTGGTGTTTTTTTTTTATCAAAAAACCTTGATCTAGATGAATTTTTAGCATGATATAGGAAACGAGCTCAGGCTACGGACATTTTATTCTCAAAATACGCATCCATGCGAATTCGAAACGGTAAAATAACTATACGTTGATCGATAGGCAGAATCTTTATTCTTTGCAAAAAAAAAAGAAAAGAAAAATATACGGGCTCACTCACTGATCCGAAGTGACCTGTGGGCTGCAGCCTGTGGTCGACCGGGGTTGCCGTGTTTAGAATATCAGAGCGCACGTATGTAGGATACACGCTGCGACTTATTGCCTAAATTGGAATCAAGGAAAGACTTGAACAATTAAGACCACGAGATCCACCATGAGATCCCAACTCATTGTCATACCAGCAGCGACTGCAGTCAGAGGCGACCGAACGCTGACATACGTTCTGGATTTTTTCTCCACACATCCCCTTTACAATTCGATGTCTAGTGCGTGCAGCCCCTACTTCTGGACATGCATGACTGCCTCCAGTGACTGACTGCCACGCCTCCAGAGGGAAACAACTCCAAAAATAACAGTTTTTATTAAAATCGTTTTCTGCAATAGCTTTTGACTCAAGACAGTGACGACATTTATTTTGCCAGCATCGTATTCCTCTCGTCGAAACGCGTCGAATGAACTATACGTTGACCTTGAAACGTCATTTTGAAAATTTGACCTCAGGTCAAGATCATGACCTTGATGGACAGGGTCATGCTGCATATCACTCGATCCGTATCGTCGAGCTGAACACATCTGACGTGTTTTCACCGCTTTAGCAAGTCTCTATCAAAAGGTATAGCCAAAGAAATGCTGGTGACCGTTCATGACCTGAGATGACCTCAGGGGCACACAGAAGGGTCACAGGTGCATTTTATCGATTCAATGTGTTATGTTTACCTATGTACCGATGTTTGAGAGGGTTTTGAACCACATTCGTCCAAAAGAGGCGCATTTTAATTTTCTCCAATTGACTTATACCTAATGGAGAAGTCGCAAAATTGACCTGACCTTAGGTCATGGATATCAAAAGTCCGAGATAAACATTTTATACATATTCTTAGTCTTATCAATCTCTGATAGTTTTAAAAGTGATCGTTCCGTCGGTGTGGCGTACGCTGGGGCGGCACCGCACTGCTAGGCGGGGGCGGCATCACAATAATGGGGGGGGGGGGGGCAATGCGCTGGGGGCAGCACTTGCATTGAGGGGTTTTTTCTCATTTGGGCTGAAGATGACACTCAAGAATAAGAATGGATAATTTTCCACTCTCACATTTTGGGTAGCTAGAATTTTCCACTCAGACACCAAAGAGAAATCTGAAGTTTGGGACACTGTTCACCAAAAGCGTACATAACTTAGTTTTTTAGAAAAATATTAGGGTTGCACAGTGCGCTTGGGCTTTTGAGTCAATTCTTTTCCATGCGACACCAATAGCCTTAATGATCATTTTCAGAGATGTTGGGGCTGCTGCTACAACCCCCTTTTGGGGTTCCCGCTGCAACCCACTTTACTAAAGCTGCAATCGTGCTGTTCACAATTCCTCCCGATCCACCCGACAACGCCCGATCCCGTCCGACCGCTTCCGAATCTCCGACTAGTCGGCGAGCGATCCACTCAGGGCTCGCTGATTTTGAACATCCGACCGACCGTAAGTTATTGTCCAAAGTTTTATCTGCGTCAATATTTTGTGCATACTTGTGCGATTTTATGTGCACCGCCGGAGTATCACCACTGAGAGGGTTGTGGGTCCCTACTCTCTAGGTACTCTCTCCTCTCTCTGAAGAGTCGGGGGAGGGGTCGAGGCCCGTTTTTTTACATTTTATATGCCATCCTGACGTTTTTTTTTTTGCAGAATAAAGTGGTCGAAATCTGGGGAGAAATCGAAAATTGGGGGGGGGGCTTTGGCTACGAAGGTCAGTCCATGTCGCTGCCCAAGTGGCCCACCAGTCAAAATTCCTTAGCCGAGGCCCTGCAGTGATCATGCTGGAGGTTTGGCGATGTGTTGAGCTCTCAGCTCGGCAAACATACTGAGCAACGACATTGTCCTATCTGTCATAGCTGTCTGTGGGTGTAAAGTGGTGACCAAGTGGCACTAAATACAGCAGTAATGCATCACAACAGCACCCACCTCCACGAGCTCTCCTTTGCGGAGGATGTTCTGCACCTCAAACACGGTGGCGTACTCCTCCAGTGAGCCGGCCAACGAGCTCTGGCTGTCCTGGCGCGACCGCGGCGTCACCTGGCGCGGCTGCGGCGTGCTCTGGCGCGAGCGGGACCGGCGCGCTCCGCGGCCGCCGGCCACACTGCCGGTGCTGCTGCCGTGGGTGCTGAGAGACTCGGCACTGTCACTGTGAAATGGCAGACAGGCCAGCCGGCGCGGCGGTCAGTACGACGGAAATTGTGGATTCCGAAGACGCGGCGGCCACAAGTAATTACCGACATTTCAAGCTGAATACATCCCCCCAGAGCCTTTGACGGACCTTGAGTGACGAAGGAAGTCGTTTGTTGTATTCTGGTGGGACTAGCTATTGCTTTGTGACGGTTACACACAGCTAAGCTGTCGGGGTACGGCCAATGAGGTGGATAATTGATCCCGACGCGCAAGAATTGAGGATGGCCACCGAAAAATGGCAGATATCCTCAAAAATATCAACGCGTGGGAGGGAAAGACTCATGCAAATGTGTCTTAAACGTAAATTTGAATATTTACCGATGAATGAATGAATGAATGAATGAATGAATGAATGAATGAATGAATGAATGAATGAATGAATGAATGAATGAATGAATGAATGAATGAATGAATGAATGAATGAATGAATGAATGAATGAATGAATGAATGAATGAATGAATGAATGAATGAATGAATGAATGAACGAACGAACGAACGAACGAACGAACGAACGAACGAACGAACGAACGAACGAACGAACACGAACGAACGAACGAACGAACGAACGAATGATTGAATGAGAATATATAGCATATTTGCTAACTTGAAAATGCAGTAACCATGTCGGAAGTTTTGTGAAGCTGCCTATGCTCCCATTGACTAAAATAAATTAGGTGCGCCACTTGTTCTCTGCGTAATAAGTTACAATTTTCGCGCACACGTTCGTGCCTTTTCGCGCCTGTCTGATCTCGATTTCCATTTAGGTGGCCTCTGTCGGCCGCCCGGGAGACTCGATCGATCAGTGTTAGCCCGCCTTCCGCCGCTCATCTATCTGGGCCGGCAAGGTGAGAGGGTCAGACGCGATATTTGTGAACTTCTCCGGGCATGGTGGTGTCATTCATGAGTCAGTTCAGTTTATTTGTGAAGGGTTTAAATTATTTTGTTTGTTTTGTTGCCTGTGCTTTTTATCAACAGTGGTGTCTGTCAATGACTGCGATTGGCATGCATGGTGAAAATCAAATGGCGTTTTTTAGGTCTCTGTGGATATCACCATCCAGGTTCGAGTTGAAGGTGGGTGGATCGGCCCTCAGGTGTAACACAAGCCACCACAATCAATAACTCCCAGAGAAATACGAGCTGACTGAGCGTCTGACAGCCGTCATTACTCATCCGTGGCTTACCCCCAGGAGTAACGCCAGGCCTCAGAAAGCAATCAAGTCCGTGTAAATTAAACTAAACTGGCACGCCCCAAAATCACGAAGCCAACAGTTGAAGCCCACAAACATCACTGCTCCGTCACAATGCAGGTGGGCAGTTCTACTCTGCATCTATGTAAATACCCATTTATGCATTTCATACATGTTCAGTTTTCACTGTTCATACTGATCATGTTTACTTTGTTGATCCAAATTAATTGCGGCGTTGATTTCAGTAGGACGGCACCGAGGTATTGTAGGACGAGTCATTGCGGGTTTTCGCCAGTTACATATAGGTATAATATAGGTACCGTATACAATAGATTTGATTCGAAGGGAATTTAACCGCTCATTTTATCACGTATGTTTCTAGTGCCATTTTGATCGATAACTTTATATTTCCACTTCTTATTACGGGAAAATATTAATCGTATATTGTTTGATATCGTTGACGTTTTTTTTTTTAGAACAAATCAGTCAAGTTTTCAGTGATAAGCTGGGCTTAGAAGCATGCCAGTTTTTAATGTGTTAAAGATTTTCAGACATTTGAAAAGCTTAAGCGGTTGACTATGTCAAGTAATCTTCTTAGTTGTTGTGATGTTAAGATGTATGTGTATGTATGTATTTATTTGAACGCCCACAGGTATGACACCCATTTACAGACGCAGTCCGATACTAAAACCTATAAATACATGTGCTCATGGGTTGTCAAATATAGGTACGTATAGTCATGTCAGAGAGATTAAGAAGGCTCTAAGAGACTTCATAAAAGTTCCTCGACTGGCGAATAGGTCCACAGATGCCACATGTTCGTACATGCCGTTCACTTGTCTCGGTAAGCGACAAAACATTCCGGCCCTTATCGTTTCCACCCTTGCGGTGGGTTCGTGCAGTATCGCCCGTCCTCGAGTCCGCCTACATGGAACACACAATCCAAACATCCCAACAATATCGGTGGACCTAATGCGACCAGAGAACACCGAATGAAGAAAAGTGAGATCGCGCTGCACCAACCTTGCCCGAATACAACTCACACCAAAATGAGACAGAAGCTGATGGTAATCGAGAGACTGAGAGGGCCGTGTGGAATGAGTTGCCAGCCAGATGAGCATCTTATGCTGGATACGTTCCAGACGCTGTATATGTGTTTTTGAGGCCCCAGCCCATACTATGCTACCGAATTCTATCACAGAGCGAACGTGGGCATTAAAAGCAGTGATAAGAGGCTCAGGTCGAAACCGTCTCCCCCTCGCAGCACGAGAGGTCTGCAGCGAGCGCAAGTACACGCCAAGCGCCCGGTTCGCACTCCCGACGACGCCGTCGACGTGAGGCCCAAAAGTTAATTTTGAGTCCATGAGCACACCCAGATCGCGCATCACAGATACACGATCTAAGGTGATCCCATGGATGGAGTAGTCGAAATGGACTGGTTTAGTGCGGAGAGTGAATGTAATCTGTTTACATTTTGTGGGATTCAATTGCAGCTTCCAAGTAGTTGACCATGTACAGAATTTGTGTATATCGTTTTGAAGGGCGACAGCGTCATCAAGCGTGCGAACCGGGCGGAGCAGTTTCATGTCATCAGCATACATGAGGCACGACGAGTTCAGGTAAGATGGTAAATCGTTGCAGAATAAAATAAACAAGATCGGCCCACATATGCTGCCTTCCGGCACGCCCGACCCAACACGGGCCCAGCCAGACGTCTTCCCGTTGACCACCACTCGCTGCTCTCTCCCACAGAGGTAAGACTCGAACCACCGCAGGGCAGAACCGGAAAGATGATAGGAGTGACGAAGTTTGTGCAGGAGAAGAGAATGGTTAACGCTGGTAAAGGCAGAGGAGTAATCGGTGTAAATAACATCAGTCTGATGGCCCGAGGCGATAGCGTCCCACAACTGCTTGACGAGGCAGGTCAGGTTGGTCTCACAGGAGCGTCCGGCCAGGAACCCGTGCTGAGCCGGAGACAACACAGGGGCCACGTGCACAAGTAACTGGTCACACACTACTCGCTCGAGAATTTTGGAGCAAATTGACAAAAGTGACACAGGGCGGTAATTGGCCGGGTCTTTCCTGTCACCTTTCTTAAAAATCGGCACCACATTAGCCCGTTTCCAGACCAAGGGGAACTTTCCCTGGGCAAAAGACAAAGTACAGAGCTTGGTTAATGGCACTGAAAATTCGTCTGCACACTCTGATAAAATTCGTGCACTAAGACCGTCCGGCCCGCATGCCTTGTGTACGTCTAATGATTGTGTACGTCTAATGAGAAGATGCTGGTGGGCGTAGATATGGTGTGCAAATCTAGCTTGTCGGCTTCCAGCAGCTGAATGGCCAGTATTTCCAGTTAAGGAGGATAAAGCTGAGATTATGACTTGACGGCGTGGGTCATGGAGACATCACGACACCGGTTTTTCTTGTGGAGGAGAGGGATAGAGAGATGTTGTTACCGACTGGCTGCTCATATTTGGAAACTAATCAAAACCCTTTTCCCCATACCACTAATTAAAAGGAAATTTGAAGCTTCAGCCCTCGTCGTTAAGAAATGGGTAGCCACGTGCGAGTATCGGGCAAGTCCGTTTACCATTTTCCTTCCCCACTCCGGGGTCAGCCCTCCGGCGCCCCGCAGCAGTGGCCGCGGCTGACACCCACCTGGTCATGACCTGGACGTTGCTGTGGTTGGTGAAGAGCCGCTCGCCGTCGCTGATGTGGCTGCCGCAGTGGGAGCCGGCGCTGACAGGGCTCGGAAGGCTCTGGAAACCCGACGAGTCGCTACGACACGGCGAGGTGCGGAACTTGCCGCCCGAGAGGCTGCCGCTGCTGCGAGGCGTCGCCGACATCGGGCTGTCGAAAAGGAAGGGCAGGCCCTCATGTCAAGACAGGTAGATGCATCCGTGAAAGGATATAAGTTTTTACTTTCTAGATATGAGCCTAATTGTGTGACGGGTGGCCTGTTGGTATGAGCTGATGGCAAGGCATTTTACAGCCTGACTGATGACTTAAATATGTTTTCAAACGAGTAGCTTTTTATCGTTCATATCAGACTCACCTGATGGATACATGCTTCTCGGGTGTCTTGCGCGTTGTGGAAATCTTCAGCGGCTTGAGACACTTCTTCTGGGGTTTGATGGGCTCCGATCCCCTGTTGGCTGACTCGAGGTTCAAGGAGAGCGCCTGGAGGCCAATGAGAGCCGCGTGCTCGTCGATGTGGTCGTACTGGGTCTTGGGCGGTGACTTGGAGAGCCGAGTTCGCCCGTCGGACATTGGGATGAACGAAGCGCACGACTGGAAAAAAAAGAAAATTAGGTATATAAGTTATTGGTATGAACGAAGCGCACGACTGGAAAATAAAATAAACTTATGCAAGTTATATTCACCAAACTGACAAATAATGACCTCTGTTGATTGCCTAGCTCCCAGAAACAAAGACTGCTGGCTCATTTGTTGCTCAGCTTGTGCCGAACACTTTGCAGTGTCAACTCCAAACATCAAACTAACGCCAGCATTGCTCGCCTATTCTGTTCGTCTCTTTCACCACACCCCATCCGGTGTCCTGTCTGCAGGCAGAATACCACCTCGTACCCGGCCCGAACACCTCCGGACCACGCCCAGCACTCGACTGCCGAGGGGCCATAAACCGCCGGAGCGACTCCGCTCTTCAGACACGCCCGATGGTCGCGACTGCAGGTCTGAGCTGGCACGGCACGCAAGGGATAGCTATGTAGCTTCTCAGCAGCTCAGGGATTCCGCGATTGATGGCCACTGGTTACCTATAACCAGGGGCCTCGCATCCTTGATAGTGAGCTTGCAATGACCTTTGGTGTTTTGATAGCCATTGGCCATTTTTACAGTCTAATGGCATTAATTGTTCCATTGTTCCATGACTATTTCTACGTGATTGACTTGCAATTATCACCACTATGTGGCTTTGTGTGCGGACGGCACACAGGTTTCCATTGGCCAAGATTTCCTGAAGAACCCAGCCAGCACCCGTTGTGTACGTGCCCACGCAGGCACGATTCGCATTGTTGCCAGCCGGACCGGCCTGGCATCTGCTCTGCCTACGGCCCGGCGTGTTTGACACTGTCACAGCAGTGATGGAGCGTGTTGTCCGACAAACAGTACCTCCGTGGGCCGGCGCTCAGCCCGCTGGGCACCCGCCGGTAGCGGCACGGTACATTGTTCTGCTGTCGGTCCTTGACGGCCGGCGACAATGGCTTACGAAGGTCACGGCGCGCGGGTGACGACACACGCCATAGGAGGGGGGGGGGGGGTCTCAGCCGTGATCGTTGTTTTACGACCGGAGAAAATGGCAGTGATGATAATACGGCCACCAAACGACCGTGTAAATGACGACTCCTATTACCCTCATGGGGCTTGGACGCAAAAAGGTAATGAAACGGTTGATGAATCTTGCTGAAGCCTCGGAAAATCCCGAAAGTGGTATATCCCAGGCTCTTTTAAATTAATGGGTTACTGACCCATGTAGTACACTCGGGGGCAGATTGATGTTCTACAACTCTTTATCCACCGGGTTCCTATGGCTCAGCATTGGCAGCAGCCGCCTGGTACCGGTAGACTGTGCCGCTTCACTTACTTGTCAAGCGGCACAGCCTACCCACACCGTATGTCACCGGTCTGGGTCGGTGGCTGGAAGGCGATGTGGGCCGCCTGTGACGTCAGCGCAGCGGTGAGGGCCGAGCCCGGAGGCATGGCTCGGGTCGGCGCGGCGCGGCGGCTGGCGAGGGCTGGGGAGTGAGGTGGGGTGGGAGCACGGACCATCGCGCGGCTGAGAGAGTGTATAGTTAACTTTCGCGTCTCAAGGCGCCAAGTATTCTACCTAACATTGCTCTACCTGGCATTGGGACAACCGATAGAATTTATATCACACGTGCATCGAGTTGCGGAGCTACATTGTTTATAACAGGTATTAAGGCCTTGATTGAGCTCATTGGTGTCTATTATTTCGCACAGCAATCGTCCAGAGACTGGGGTTTTTGGATAGCGCGGCGTCCCAACTTTAAGCAACTCTTACTGTTCCTCTAATGTGTGGTCGCAGCCACCAAAAGCATAGGAACAAATAAGTCGCGCACCTGGGACGGTTCGAACCGGGCATCTCGAACCGGTCACCCTATGACGCTAGCGTGTATCCACTGAGCTGCTGAGACCAGCGACCACCCGCCGCGGTCAAACGCGATCAAATGTCACAATACTGTCATTGGCGGTCAGCGGGTGCATGTCATTTAGTTTTGTGCAGACGAGAACCATTCTCGGTAGCTCAGTGGATGAACGTTCGTATCGTCAATTGGCCGGTTGGGGAAGCCCGGTTCGAATCCCCCTGAGTGGCCGACTTTTTAGCTCCTAGTTAGAACGGTTTGCTATTGCGGGGCTGCGACCACATTTTAGAGCAACAGTAATAATCGCTTTAACCCTATTCCTGGCGGGCTCCGCCGGGACAAGAAACTGGCGGGGGGGGCCGATTCGGCCCCCCCCTGAGATCTCGAGAACGAAGCAAGATAGCGACAAGCGGTAAACGGCATCGGATACGCACGGCCAAGATCTACAATTTTTACTAAGGTCATTTTCAGGTCAGGTCAAAGATGACGTCACAGGGGTCGAAAAAGTCAAAATGGCGGCGCTAGATATGGAGAGAGTTTTTCTCGAATAACTTTCGAATTAGTCAAGATAGGAACAAACTAAGGGCATCATCGTGATCCTCTCGTCAATCCGCATCGAATGATATATATGTTGACCTCCAAAGGTCAAGGTCAAAGGTTGACCTCAGGTCACGTGACCTCGAGGTCATCATGTATATCATTCGATGCGTCTTGACGAGCTGAACACAATGAGACCATCCACGCGTCTGTATCTTGTTCCTGTACGGAGTTATTGGCCAAAAACCTTTGGTGACCTTTGATGACGTCACATGACCTCACAGCTGCCCAACAGCAAAACAGACCTCAAGGTAGTGAAGGTTGATCGTATATGAAGTCATGTATGGTATATGGGGCCATTCCGACCCGTTTTAGTGGTAAAAACAGGGAGTTGATTTTTCCCCCATTGACTTATAATGGGGAGGTCGCGAAATTGACCCGACCTTAGGTTACCGATATAAAAATTCCGAGATAAACAAATTGCACATACTGGTACCCTAACTAAACCCTGAAGAGAAGAAATTGATCGGTCAAAAACTCTAGCTCTGGCGTGATTGCAAACTTTTCTGAGGTAGCGTCACCAAACCGCCTCTGGTGACCTGACCTGAGGTCAGATCAACTCAAAATTTTCAGACATGTTGCGTAGAAGCCTTTTAGGAAAAGTCAGAAAATTTGAGCTTCCTAGCTCAACGCGTTTGGGAGATATAACCAAAAAACCTCAGGGGGGGGGGGGCTCCTGAGGCCCCCCCCGCCAGGAATAGGGTTAAATTGGGGCGCTGGCTGCGGCACTACTCATAACCCCCAGTTCCCACGTCTCTGGACGATTGCCGTGCGAAACAATGACACCAATCTGCTCAATCAAGGCCTTAATACTAATATGATATACAAAATATAGCTCCGCACCTCGATGCACGAGTGACATATAAGTTCTATCGGCTGTCCCATTGCCCCGCTTAAGTGTGTCGTAATGTGCATGGCAAGCATGATGATAGGCGCTGTCTTGGGGATAGGATATTTTAACAACTGCTTTAGCACAATTGTTAGGTAGAATAATTGGCGCCTTGAGGCGCGAAAGTTAACTACACTCGCTCAGCCGCGAGATGGTCCGTGCTCCCACCCCACCTCACTCCCCAGCCCTCGCCAGCCGCCGCGCCGCGCCGACCCGAGCCATGCCTCCGGGCTCGGCCCTCACCGCTGCGCTGACGTCACAGGCGGCCCACATCACCTTCCAGCCACCGACCCAGACCGGTGTCATACGGGTGGGTAGGTTGTGCCGCTTGACAAGTAAGTGAAGCGGCACAGTCTACCGGTACCAGGCGGCTGCTGCCAATGCTGAGCCATAGGAACCCGGTGGATAAAGAGTTGTGGAACATCAATCTGCCCCCGAGTGTACCTATGTGCTAAATGTTCAAGAGCGTTGATCAAGGATATAGCTTCATGAATGAACGATACCAATCGTGCCACGCCTCATTGGATAAGGGACAGCGGAAGACTGCATTTCTCGGCGGTATTTTCCATTCAAATCGATGCAATATTGCATTTCTCAGCGGTATCTTTCCACTCACATTGATGGATGATTGCATTTCTCTGCGGCATTTTCCATTCAGACTGATGCAAATGTCTGGTGGATTCGGGGCGTATATAGCGTGATCGCCTGCCATCAGCAGCTGATTTAGTTAAACATCCCATAGACTAACCCTTCTCACTGTGGAGGCGGTACGAGTATCATAATGCACCGTACGAACGATCGCTGGCCATGGATTCAGCCGCAGAGCCTCATTGAGGGCTGTTAGGGCCCATTTGTCGTAATTCATGGCGGCATCATACCTCTGCCGGTGTTGCGATTGCCGGCCTTGGCGCCGGGTTCCTGTGTGTATCTGCATAGTTGACGTCACTGGCCGCTGGCCGCCCATTCAGCTGCAGTCACCCACGCATTGGCGCTCTGCGCGCGCGGGATGCGCCGGAGACCGACCCACGCTCGGGGTCCGCGCCCGGCGACGACCCTGTGAGGCCCAGTGCAGGCTCTGTGTGCCGCACCGACGCCGTCGCTACGATCGGGGAGGAGAGTGATGTGGAGGAAGAGAGGAGTGGCCGTAACTCGTCCCTGCAACACTCCTTCCAGCATAGTCCGGGGTCAGCGCCCTGGCTCTGTTGTGTCCCAGACCGTGGAGGAGTGCACTTAAGAGGGATGCTGCAACGTCCCGGAAGTCGCCGAGCCGTGGCTGCTGCAGCCAGCATGGCCTGCACTCTGCACGGGCGAAGGTGTTCTTTTTCGCCCGTATCCCTGTGTATGGGCCGAAGTAAGCACTCATTCCCCGCTCCCAAACACACCTGGGGGTAATCGTGACTCTAGCCATAGTACTCCAACTACCCACGTTCAGCCCGCTCCTGCGGTCGTTGACCGTCCGCTGGATATCCCAGTCATCTCTTCCATGTTGACAAGGCTCTCTGAAGGCTTATGACGGCTTAGCGAAGAAAGTGACCTAAATGCCAATTGCCATTTAGGCGTATAAAAGCACTACATTCAAACTGAAAGAACCCCAAAGCAACCAAAATTTGAAATTAAATGTCATTAAAGAAGTGTCAATCATAATAAGTGATCGATGATTCGATACCATCGATAAAATACAATCGATGGCGTAAATGTGGTCTTGCTAATGCTGGTAATGTCCCTCGGCGCTGACAGAAAATACTTGTTTCTCCAGTCTCAAACGTCTGCATTTAGCAGCCAATGAAAAGCTCATTCTTCTTGGCCCAGAGCCTCCCAGCTCTTACACCTAGCGGGCAGGGGCGACCTCAGCCGGCAACAGCACCGACCTCAGGCTGGCACCTCCACGCACCGTGCGCCTGGTGGGCCGCGCGCCGCCGGCACCCGCCCACCGCCCGGTGTCCACCATTTATCAAACCGGCTCTCGGGCGCGGCGTCACTATGATCGATCAGCGAATCTCGCACCGGCAGCCGGCCGGGCGCCAATCGATGGCGGAACAGAGACGAACGTGGCGCATCGGGACGATCGCGGCGCACCATAATGGCGACATCAGCCGGTGGATTGCACCTGGTGCAGCTTTATTGGTGTTGATATTGCTTTTGGAGTATTAAGCTTAATCCTTTTTATCGGCTTGCAGCAAATATGGAAGTTCATAGCAAATAGCTGAACTCTCCCAGCTTCCACAGATCCACCGATCGGATGGCAGGGATTCGGGTATGTGACGCATACGACCATGAGCTTTGCCGCTCCTCTGGGCGGTCATTCAGGGCGGCCCAGACAGCCGATACATGCCGAGGTGTGGGCCTCCTGGACCGGCGGACAGGCGCGGCTCAGTGCGTGGGCTGGATGACCACAGTGCGCCATCAGCAGCGGTCCTCTCTGCGACACTGGGAGTGTCCGTCGGGGGCGCGGCACCCCCTTGAGCTGCGGAGAGCGGTCTGCCGTGTGTTCAGTCCTCCGCCAGACAGGGTTACCATTGTGAGAGCCGGAGACAGTGCGGGACCCGTCGCGGAGCGTGGCGTTGTTGGCAGACGTGAGTTTCAGTTTCTAATGCACATCCGCTGTTTCGCAGCTGAGTGTCGGCGCTGTCTCGAGTGAGGACGGTTCAAATGACAAAAGCGGCTGACAAAGGCGCATTTCTGCTGAATGATGGAGGCCTGTTTTGCGTGCGGAATGCGACGACGACTGTTATTAGTTCCGTCGTGACAACTGACGAACAACGTACCACACACGCTGGTTGAACAATGAACAGAGCCTCCTGCTTGACAACTGCGTGACTGCTGTCATTTTGCTGCTTCTGGAATCTCGGCGATACTGTTCTATGTGCCTTCAGTCGAGGTACAACCTGCCGAGTCCAATCCAAACCGTAGAACCGAACAGTAGCGCGGTCTCCACGGGACGCCCCGCCCCGCCCACTCAGTCGATCAGACGATCGGCACCGATCACACTGACGTCTAATCGCATTAATATTCGGTAAAACCAGGCTATCACAGAACTGACGGAACTATTATCTCCTACGCCTGTGATGCCCGGGGGTTGCCGTGGGCGAGCGTGAGGGCTTTGGATGGCCTGGAGCGCGTCTGGACGCGTTTCACTAACTCCTGGCACCTCCTGCGGCACTGATCGCCATGGAACGGTGGGAACCGACACGTAACGCAGCACGCGAATCCCCGCGCGCCACGCAATGCTCGCATGAAGCGGTGATGAAGCGGTTCAGTGAAGAGCCGAACGGCTGAGGATCGGTCAGAGCAGACAACTAATGGGTCTGTAACGTGCTGGTAAATGGTGGGCCATTTTCACTTGGGGACGGTCTCTTATCTCGCACGTCCGTGTTCGGTGCAGAAATCGTCCTCTCGGGGGCCCTTATATCACGTGCTGGAAAATCGTCTTTATGTTACCACTCGGTTTGACCAACCCTCACACATTCCCAGCAAGGGCAGCTGACAAATTACATGGCCATTATGGGTGGGAATTAGCGCTGTCGGTTGTAAAGCCAACACTGCCAGCGCTGCTCGGTGACACCAAACGGCCGTCCTGCAGCGCTGCACGGCCTCAGTGGACGCGCCGCCGGCTCTCACACCGCACACGGACCGAAGGCCATCGCCGGTATCGATTTCAATTAGCGCCCCCGCAGAGGAGGTCCGCGCCGCTCGCACCGGTCATTACATGTCTCCCGCGACACGGGTGTAACAGCTCCGCAGCGGGCCCGGGGGTGTCACAGGGACCCGCGCTGGGGGGTTCTGATTCTGCCCGGAGATAGAGTCGGCATTGATCACTGTCCAGTTAACCATTGTCCAGCAGGAGGAGAGTTGGTGCCAGAAAGGCATGGACTTACTCGTGGATGAGTCCTCAAAATGGGATAGACGAACGTGATGCATAAATGAAAATGAAGAACTTTTCAAAGTTTTGTCCCATTCTCATGTTTGAGCAAAGTAATCGGGATGATAAACCAGGCTACCCGAACTTCTCACATATTTTCTGGCTGTCTCCGTCGGGTCGTGGAGTTAGTCCGAGCTCATTTAGTGCCAGAGCTCCTGGTTCAATATGTTATCGACCGAAGTTCGCAGACGACATGGTGGCTTTTCGGTGACTTAATTGGTCTCTGGTAACGAGGAGCCATTATTGCTATCTGGCCAACTTATTGCATCGTTTTGCTTTAGCTGGTTACGTTGGTGGCTTAAATATAAAACTGTACAGGGGCTCCGCCACCGAGGCTCGCGGGGGTCCGGACCCCCTCGTTCATCTCACTTCTGTATTGCAACCTAATTTATAAGGGTGTGGATTTTTAATCGAACACCTAATGCATAAGGGTGTGAATTTTTAGATCGGACCCCCTAATCTTTAAACCGTGGTGGAGCCCCTGGAACTGTACGGATTTGATAAGGAAAAGTGCTCGCTCGTCGAACTGTATCATGGTATTCTATCGGTCACGAGTAATTATAATGATCGTTCACGGCGTTCCTCGTTACCAATGACAATGTACCTGCACCGTTGACCTTTTCATCATTCATAATTTTGGAACTATTCACAAAGCATCGTATTTCAATCACCAACATCAAACATTCATGATTCGCCTGGATCGTCGAAGGACGGACGGAAACGGAATGAAAATGATATGCCAGTCATCTACCTAGGTATAACCTTCAGAATCTTACAAAGTCAATTTCAGGCAATTCGCGCCGGCTTTAATATGGCATTATACCAACCATTTACTTCGTCTACTTTTTATAGGTCATTCGTCAATCCGGCTCGGCGCGCTCTGAAAGGGGCTGTCACCTTAAATCACCATACGCTCGCTCTGCCGCTGGCTGATACGTTCTCTAATGAAGTAGCTGCGAGCTCATGGTGACTTACGATATGTTGTATAAAGCTATCACTGGTCCGATCGCCATCACACCCTTCCCCCGCTGACACGGCCACTGACCAGCTGGTGCGGGCATCCGTCTCCCGCCGGGACTGAGGTGTTGAGCTGAGGCGCTCTCTCAGCCCCACCCCTAAACACCCCCCGCCGTGCAGGACAGAGGTCGGGTATAGTCGGCAAGGTCAGCGCTCGGCGGGACTGGGCGCGCCAGCCGGGGTCGTGACATGGGTGAGGCCGCAGCATTCAGCGGATCGCCGCCGCCGCCTCGGGATGGACGTGGCGTGATGTGGGGCTCCGCAGTGAAAGAAAAATGCACCGCCGCACCCAGCCAGACGACCGAGCGCAGCTTGTTATCGGCCGATACAAAAGACGCGCTGACACAGGAATTCGTGAGCTGTGGCAGCTCAAGTGTTTGCTAGTGGCGAGTTAATGGTGTTGATGTTGTTACAAAAAAAAAAAAAAAAACACTTCGCCGGAATCTCCTTTGACCGGTGCGCCCTTGGCATGTAAATGCCTACCGCTATTGTTATAGCCGACAGTAGCGAGGTTCTAAGCCCGTATGCAATACATGACCATAAAATCAATACATGCAGCACTTCAGTGTTAACGTAACGAATCGATATCCATTCAGCGTTTTTGTCTGCCGAAATAGACGATGACTTAAGATTCAGGAGAGATCAGAATGCTGCTTCGAAAGCTATGTTTCAATGTCTCCATTCAAGTATGACCGCAAGAGATGGCGAACTACGCGAATAAGTCCTTTTGTATAGACTAGCAGATGGCTGGTAGGTATGAGTCTTCTTTCAATTTACCAATTTAACCTCAACTGCTCAAGCGGTAGATAGTTTCTGCACAACACTGCCACCGGACAAATAAATACCAATTCTGCGGGTCAGGAGCCGACAGAACATTTCCGGACGGTCCGATTTTCACGGAGGGTTGTTACATCAGTTGCAGCTACCACAGTACTTCTCTGATAGATGAAGCTGAAACTCGCCATCGCCTCGGGCACCGCACGGCCTCCCAGCGCGGCGCAGGACGATATTTCACATGTCCCGCGGCCGACGGATACGAGTCCCGGCGGCCACGGACGGAGCTAACTCCGCGTGACTTGCACGGCGACACGGCGCCAGTGGCGGGTCTGTGAGCACGCGCTCCCCGCGCCGCTCCGACCGAGCGTCTGCGGACCTACCGAGAGACGAGGGAGCGAGCGCCGGCCGGCTGCTCGGCGGGACGGCAGCCGCGGAGACTGCGACTCAGGCCATAAACCACACCTGACCGCGCCGGACGGAGCGGGGTGGGACGGCACTGAGCGCCTGCTGCGGTCTCATGGGGGTGTAAATCTGAACCTGGAACGGCAGGGTATGCCGCCTCACACCACAGCCTTGCCTGGCCGGTTGTGTGTTTGATGGTTCAACGCCCGCGAAGGTTGCGGGATTCCAGCAGGATGTTAGCTGGTCTGCGGTATAGCTAGATAGAAGCGCAGCGCTCCCACCGTGTGGGTTCGTAAAGGGCCCTTCACTCTCGCGGCTCTGTCCTCTCGTGAGAGCGCCGGGCCTCACCCGCTCCACCCGTCCACTCACCATCCCATCGCCGACTCCCGGCCCGGCGGCTCACAGCCCGACTAATCGCTAATGGACTCACTTTGGAGGCGGCCATCCCACGCCGGGCGCCGAGACGCAGCAGGGACGCAGCTCCCTGGCTCTCCGTGTCTCGCACGGAACACACCCGGAGAGCTGGCGACGAGCTCTGACTCCCCCAGACTAGACCACGCTCGGAGATCGACCGGCGCACCGGCCGGGCCGTCGGCTCCGACGACCCGCCCAGCTGCCGACGCGTCGGTCCGAGTCGGCGCCGCCGGCCCGTGTGACGTCACTCAGACCGCGGTGACGTCACGCCGATCTATGGGGACGGCGGGTTATGTGCGTCTATTGGCGGCCGCTGCACATGGAAAGTCGCGCTCGTCACGGCGCCGACCCGGGCGGCCATCGATCGGCCGCGGCCGCCGCTCAGCCCGCCTGGAAAGTCCCTGGAAAGCGGCCACGAGCGCGCCCAGGCACCCTAAAGTGGGGAGGACAGACATTTTTTTCAGCGTCCGACATTGATTTGAAATTGCAAGAAGGCATTCAAGGTGTTTATTTACATTTTATGTCGGTTATGGGCTATATGGCCGGCCATGGGGAGATTTATCGAGTGTGGATTGGTGGGGCAAAAAGTCGTCAAACCCACTATGTCCGATTATGAGGTTGAAGAAAATGTCGCACTGAATCAATTCCTATCATTACAGAAATAATATTTTGCATTAAACAGACATTCTAAAGCTCTTCAATGCGAAAAAGATTATTTTGCGAAGCAACGAAGTCTTAGAAATCAGCTAAAGTTGGTGGGGCAAAACGCTTATTAGTTAATGGTGGGGAAAAAATAACAAGTTAGTGGGGCAGCCGCCCCACCAACTGTATAGAAAGTTCTGCCCCTGCCATAATCCATAACTTTAGGTAAATGTTACCAAATAGAAGCTCCCATCTCATCTCAGATGCTTTCACCATTTACGAAAGCACTTTACACTTTACACTTAAGCACTTTAAAGCACTTTACGAAAGCGAAAGCATAATTCACCTCGTATTCATTTCCTCCCACTTAGCAACGATGTCAACCGACATCGCCTGTGTGGGAATTTTGAAAATCATTCATTAAAGCCGTCACGTCTTACTTTGCTGAGCATGCTGCATGGACTCAGAGAGATCGTAGCCGTGCATCGTAAGATTTGTATCATACTTGCCGGCATGCCAAGCCTTAAACGATGCTGTTTGATAGCCCTATATATTTTCTGAAGTGCCTTGGATAAGTGGAATGTTAATTTCCGAAATAGCCAGTCAGCATAAAATTATGAAGGTACTTTGCTCATGATTCATGATGAAGATGCTACAACTAATTAGAATCTACATCTGTTGAGTTCTAGTCGTGATTATGTAAGCATCATCCCGACAGCGAATGACTGATATTGAGTGCGCAATGAACACGACTTTGCTGATGGTATCGGATCGTTTGGTTTCATCTGCAGCTTCATCGTTGCTGGTGCGCTAATGAGCTCCAGTCGTAACTCCAATTAACTCGTGACGTCGGGCACATTCAGTGATTTACAGCGCCTTTCAGTCCATATCGCGACTCAGAAGTCGGCGGGAGTCGCTCTATGCTCACGGCTGAATATGTTTAGATCTATTCAGACGGTCAGACTGGAATTCCCTGTCGTCGTCAGAACCATGAGGCACCATTGGCGATTCAGCACAGCTGCGCTAATGGCGTATACACGCAGCGAGAGCTGGCCTTTCGCCATGTGATCTGACGACCGCTCAAAATCAGACGGTGACTGCCGCCTGTTCAGCCGTAGGTCATATTGCCTGCTAGGGGAGACTGAGCTTTTGAGCTGTACTTGTCTCGAGAGACTGCTTTCTGAGTCCTGCCCGCCATCCACGAGCTTTGAGCCCTGCCCTGACATACCGTGAGAAACTGGTCTCCCAATCTTTACACTGGCCACAAGTTCCGAGCTCCGAGTCGTCCTGCACGCAGCGCCGTGGAGCGGCCGTGCGTAGGCCCTGCTCCACTGGACGGGGACGTGGGAGGTGCGCCGCTCTGACCCATCTGTCTCCGGTCGTGGTGGGGAAAACAACAGACCGACACGGCACGGCACGGCACGGGGGCTTACCGTGCCCAGCCGTGACGCCGCACCCAGCCGCCCTCCGACCAGCCCTGGGACGTGCTGCTCCGGCGTGTGATCGACGGAAAACGGTGGCTTCGGGCCGCGGTCGAGTCTTAGCAGATTTCACAATACGTTTATCTGAGATCTGTCAAAGCTGCATTTTCGTTTTGTTATGATGGCTCATGCCTCAGATCCCTAATGACGGCTATTTTATCTGAACATGTCAGCTTAGACTTATCAAAGCCCCCCCCCCCCCGATAGCCGATGGGTAGAGACGAAATATTGCGCCATTCGCGGGAAGGCCAACAGAGCCACTCTCCGACATTTCTATGCAGCTTTGGCATCCTTGTGATCGTCGCTGCACAGTAGCAGCTCCCGCGGCCGCCGTATCAGTTCCCTGGTTATGAACCGATACATGGCACGGGCTGGGCATATCTCCATTATTTATTAGACTCGATCCCCGCTCAGTTTTATGCAATCAACTGGCGGCAGGACGGTCTCAGTGACGTAGAATAGAGCTGGTTTACACTGCGCATACGGTGTCCCTTCGGGAATCGACTGCAGGGAGAAAACAATGCCGTCACCCGATAAAGTGCACTGTCACGCGGGCCATTGTCATGTCTGCGGAGATTTCGAAATTGTTTTTCTGCGAGAAAGAATGGCCGCTTTCAGATGCATCGCACATTTGGACGAAGTGTTGCGTGGGGGCTGACTTGGTGGTAAATTATTTGACCTTGCGAATCAACCCTAAATATAAACAGCGGCGATGGTCTCAATGCCCACCCTACCGCGTCTTAAATATTAATGATGATGTGAACTGAAACAAAACAGTCCTCTAAAGTTCCATCAATATTCATACAACACATTGTGGATGCGCCGCTGGTCTTGCGACTTATATTCAGAGAATATGTCTGGGCTCTGTCCCTTTAAGGAACAACTTCATCAGATTTACTGGAGAAATGGCTCCGAATGTGGTACCAATCATGTTCCTAATTGTGCCGCTAATACAAATCAAATCAAAGAGATAATTTCGATCGCTACCATGGAGCTAATTGACATGCCCATCTTCTCCATCATTTTTGAGAGCCTGAACAAATGTGATCTGACTGCCTGGTCTGTCTCATATTTTGGTAAATACGATTTCCAACGCTGTTTCCTTTCCACTTATGTGTGAAGTTTATTTGAATGCATGACGTCTTCACTTGTCATTCAGGATGGGATAGGAGGTATTCTTTATAGAAATGTTTTGGGATATCGTTTATGAAGCACAAGAAAGCTGCATAAAGAATCATGGTGTGAATTACGGTCCTGCAAGCATAGGTAATTTTGAACGGCATTTCTCCATTCCAGACAGCATTTCAACGCTTTCAGGAATATAAATTAAAATCATTCCACTTACGGGAAATTCTATGCATTGCCAGCGCCGCAAATGGTTAACGGCAGTATCCGTCATTGTTAACGGCTATGCTTTTTTAAAACTATTGCTTTGAATTGCACTGATGAGAAAGGGAAATGCGATAAGCTTTTGGAGTTTTAAAATCTAATTTTAGGGATTATGATGTCCCTCCCGAAGCGTTTAGTATCACCGTCCACCGAAAGAGTTGATCGGCGTGATCACTGATCGCCAATGGTCGCCAATAACGATAGATACCTATGCTTATAGATGTGAGGGGTCCTACCTACCCGATACAATGCTGAAAGCTCAAGATCCGCAGGCATCTACATTTTGTCTGCATTGACACTATGACCTTTCGCATAACCCGTCCATGTGTTCACTAGAAGTTGTTACCAACATTGCGGTTCGCAAACGTAAGCACACACATGATAAACAACGCATATTTTTAAGTTTGATCATACATTGCACACACGCAGTTGTTTGCTGTACTCACCATTGCTGCAATTACCGATGTTCTTGAAAGATGTGTGTAAACGCGCCGCTGTGCCTGTGTGTGACTGTATGTGTGTATGTGTGTGTGTGCCGCCGTCACCGGCAGCGGCTGGTGACTGGTCAGGTGGCTCGGTGCGCTGAACAGGTCAGGTCAGGTCAGCGCGACGGACTCCGCGTCGGCTGCTCTCCGGTGTCGGTGTGTCGGTGTGTCGGGGACTCGGCGTGCGGCACCGCTCCTCTCGACACGGGCCGCGGCGCGACTCTGAGAGGTCAGTCCGCCGCCGCCGCCGCTGCTGCTGCTTCGCCGGTCCTCTGCCGCCCCCGCCCCCGCCCGGGCCAACCCGCGCCGCCTCCGCCGCCGCCGGCAGTGGCGGTGCGCGATGGCGATGTGCGCCGACTCGCTAGTCGCTGGTAGTGCGATTTAGCCGCTAGCGCCCCAAAGCCACATGCCACAGGTGCCAAACTATAGTACTGCGCAAAAGTGCGAATTCGTATTACTTTGTAAAATTCGTTCCGCATTGGTATCCGCTTCCTTATCGAACGGCGCTATGTAGTATAGCTGCATCCTTTATCGGCGCAGCCATCGTTTTTTGTATTACAACGCTTCTTTTATACTTGCGCGATTGAACGTGCCATGATTAGTTTTTAAAATTTAGGATTTTTATATCGGAAAACGATGCCGTGCAATGTCTGACCCAGAAAATCGGGAAGACGTCTTTGGTTACATAAGGCACTCATAGTCGTTCTGAGCCCCCATGAAGTGCGTTGTTGGTCGCGATGACAAAAATATCCGAAACGTAGTGGTGTAGGCCCATGATGCCAACTGACATCGTGGAAAGCTGCGATATCAGTCTGCATTACACAATATAGAGTTTAGTCCACTACTTTACCTAACTCGGCATTTCAGGCAAGACTGACAATCCTGTCGACCACATTTGATCGATCTGCCCATTGACGTTTATTTACCCGGCGCAATTTGTCAAGCCTGTCACATGTAACTGATTCTAAGTCGGCATATTTTGAGGTCGGTCATGATATCACCCGTTTGATACGTAGCCAGTTGGCAATCAATCCTCATTGAGGCGCAGCCGAACTCATGGCCGCGTCATGGAATTGACCGCCGGGCCCGTCTCACAAACTACCTTCTGGGAGTGGCTGATCGGGTGGGTCCACCACTCAATGAATATAAACGGTCCAATAAAGCGCGATTTTCGAGCGGCACACTATGAAGGGCTGGTCATTGGTTGGGTGGCTGGGGCGCGGTAGGAGGTTGGCCTGTAAGT